TCATAGTCTAAAATATTTTTATACTATCATTTAATTTTGTGTTAATATCCTATTTATGAATTCGTGTAATTATTAATATAGTTATAACTTATTTAATGAGTTTATGTAAATATTTATTAGGAAAAAGTGTTTGTCATTTTAAATGACAGAAAGTTATATTATTTTAAGAAAGATACAGACACAGAAAATTTGAATTTTAAATTAAAAAAAATTACTCACTTTCTCTCTCCCATGATTTTCGTTTTTCTATGTCTATCTATTTTTTAAAATGACATAACTTATGTTATTTAAAATGACAAACACCAAATCTTATTTATTATGAGGAAAAAGTTTTCTCATTTTATAGAAAAGAATAAATTATCTCATGCTCAAATAAACAAAAATATGAGGCCATCATTTTTAAAAAAAATAAAAAATAAATTTTTTTTTTTTACACAAAACTCGTTGTGAGAGCAGGAAGTATTTATACTCTGATGTGAAATGACACAATCATTGCCCATGTCTATAATTACATAATGTGAAATTTACATTTTCAAACTCTTTATTCTTTTTAAGAATAATTTTGATACATTAATTGTTTAAAATAGTTTTACGTTATCATTTAATTTTGCTTTAACATTTAATTTAATTTTTTTATGTAATTATTTATAATTATATAAAATATCAAATTTATTAAGTGATATGTCAATATATAAAAGTGTACAATTTCTTTAAACACTTTTTTACATAAAATTTTAAATTCATAAAAAACTCATTCCTATTCACAGTCAAAAAAGATTGAGTAGATCTATAAAAAAAAAAAAAAAATTTCGAATAGAGCCAATAATGATGAACATAGTTGGTTAAGAGTTTGATTCATATCCCATAAGAACGTGGGTTGAAACCCGCCCTACTAACAATTGCTTGAAACCAAATTGAAATCCAACTTTGCTAGAGGAAAGTTCGATTAGGAAAGTAAATCTCTATTGACCAATTATTTTTTTTAAATGTATTAAATAATAGGATAATAACTCCAATGTACCTCTTTCTATAATAATGTGGTAAAAAGAAAATTATCTCTATTATAATAATATAATAACTATAATACAAAAAAGGAAAACATGAACAAATAAATTTAAATTTGAATGACATTCAGGATATGTTTAAAATTTTAATTTTAATTTGAAAATTTTAGTAGTATATATATGTTTTAATATATTTGAGCCTTATATATGAAATAATTATTACATAATTGAGCTTTATATTATGAAATTTTAATATGTTTATTTGAAACATATTCTTCACTTAAATTGAATTTTCAAACATTATGAATCAATATCTTAATTATGTTCATCGCTAAACATGATGAATGTTTTCATTTATACTAAGCACGCTTTTATTTAAAAACAAAAATTAAATCAAATGGTGTGACTGATTTGACATCCAAAATTACGCATGAATAAACTTTGGGCTTTACGATGGTCACGTAACTGGATAGAAAACACTCTTCCTACAGACTCAAATAAGTGTGGGGTCTACACCTATTTTTTTTCTTTTATTTTTTTCACCGGATCCAAGAATTGTTTGTCTCAGTGGCAGGAGGAATTTAGTTTGCTGTGACATGATATTTATAAACCCCATAAACTTTTATACTTGATAACACTCTTTCTATGTCTGTTATATAGAAATAGAAATAAAGATAGGAAGTTGTTTACCGAAAAAAAAGAAAAAGATAGTGAGTTTTCAAAAAAGAAAAGAAAAGAAATAAAGATAGTGTCATAGTGGCAAAGATAAAAATCAAAATAGAAATAATGAAAGGAAAAATATTTATGTAATTAATGCAGATAAGTTATCTGTATTTATTTCTAAAATGATGTCATCTTGGTATTGAAATTTTAAAAAATTTAAATATAAAGACTATTATAATCCTGAAATAAATTAAAATTACAAAAATACTATGATTTCTGCCCCAAAACACGATATCATATTGAGCTTACTGCAAATAACTTATCTGTAATAATTGCAGAAAAAATGAACCCAATAATTAATGATAAAGTAACTGATTTTTATTTTCTTCTCGTAGCAAAAACTCTTTTCCTGCTGCAACGAAAATAAATATCAATTAAAGATTGATATTTTACAAAGAACAATTATATAGGCTAATGCGTATTAATTAGTAATAACTTTAAATATTTAATCTTCCTTATCATTTGAAACCTAATGCTTTGCTCATGACAGATAATTAATTAGCTGTAGCATTTTCAGAGTAGAAGGGGAAGAACATATATAAGTTAATCATTTGTATTTATAATAGGAGGTAGGATATTTTGACTACCAATTTTTTCTACTACCACTCTAATCACCATTGGATTAAAAGTTATTTTTCTTTTCTCTCTCTTCATTCAACTTTTTCTCTAATCCAATAGCGATTAGAGTGGTAGTAGAGTAGTAGTAGAAAAAATTGGTAGTCAAAATATCTAACCCAATTAATAGATGTTATTTGTTTACTATAGTATATATTGAGTTCTTAAAACAAACAGATAAAAAAATATAATCATAATTGAAAATGGCACAGCAAAGAACATAATAGATATCGCTTGGAAACATCATTAATCCCTAAATGATTTTGGATGATTTTTTTAAAACATGCTTATGTCGTTGACTACTCCAATATTATTATTCCCTCTTAAATGGTGTAGTGGCTAATCTTAAATGATTTTACATTGACCACACACCATTAAATAGTCATTTGTCCTGGGGAATGATTTTTGTTCAATAATCAGACATCTGAGCCCATCATGGAAAAAATTGATCCATGTCTTTTAAAAAGAGATATTTCTACGGGATATGATATTTTAACAACTAATTAGTATTATTACTAATATTACTACTAATTAATTTCATCGTTAGATCGATTATGTTGATCCAACGGTTATATTTATTTTCATCTTTGTATGATTATGATTCTCCATATTTAATGTGAAAACATTAAATATGAAAATCATAAATAAATATAAAATATTAAATATGGGAAATCATAACCATACAAAGATGAAAATAAATATAACTGTTGGATCAACATATCGATCTAATGGTAAAATTTAATGGTAGTAACATTAGTAATAACATTAGTTGTTAGAATATCCTTCCTCTATTTCTATTTCAGTTTTTTAGAATGAGATATTTTATATTTCCTTATTTAATAATCGACAAAGATTTTTTTATTTAAAAGGAAATGAGAAAGGATATTGTAACAACTAATTAGTATTATTGCCAATCAATTTCATTGTTAGATCGATTATATTGATCCTAACAGTTATATTTATTTCCATCTTTGTATGATTATGATTCTCCATATTTAATACTTTATATTTATTTTCACCTTTATATAGTTATGATTTTTCATATTTAATGCTTTCACATTAAATATGGGAAATCATAATCATACACAGATAGAAATAATATAACCGTTGGATCAACATAATCGATCTAATGGTGAAATTGATTAGTAGTAACATTGATAGTAATATTGGTAGGAACAGTAATTAATTGTTACAATATCCTACCCCAAAAGAAATATACTATAAGTTTAATCGACCTTTATATATTAAATTGAAGTATACTATTTTGAAAATAATTTTTCTCTTAATTTAGTATCTTTTAAAAATAATGCACATGTGATTCTTATATTTTATTTCTTTCTTTCTTTTTAACTTTAAATTCTTTCAAATTATATATATTTTATAATTTGAAGTATTTTTCTCTTTGACTCTATATTTTATATTTTACTTAAATTTAAATTTTTTAAAAGAAACACAATCACTTATTAATATAAAAACAATATATTCTTTCCCAAAAAAAAAAAATATATATTCAGTAACGTATAAATCACAACAAATTTTCCCTATTAGCATATTTAATTAACACCATACCCCATACTTTACAGAACACAAACGAAAAAAAGCAAGAAAATAGAAATCTGTTTGATTGTCTTTTTATTTTTTTAAAAACTATTTTGCAGAATAATTAGTGAAATATTTTTTTTGTTTTAAAAGTTAAAATTCAAAACACAAAATAAAAATAACTCAAATATGTTCTCTGAATTTGATTCTAAAAACTTAAAAATAGTTATAATTTTTAGAAAACAGAATTTATCAAACAAGTATTTTTATTTTATTTTTTTGAAAATTCAAAAACTGAAAACAGAATTCAAACGACCCCATATTTTGTATTATAATAAAATAAAAGAAGGACAATAAAAAAGGAAAAGAAAATATCCTCAAAAAGTTGAAAGCAGTAAAAAGCAACATATTAAAAAAGATTTATTAATCTTATGTGAGAGAAGATATCTTCAGCTACAGAGACAAACATGAATTGAGTCGCATTACAAAAAATAAAAAAATGTAGTCCACTACTTTTTTTAATTGAGTAGAAAAAATATATTATCTTATTAATAAATCTCAAGGAGTGCCTCATGGTTCAAGAATGAGAGTGCCCCATGCCAGCCATAACCCATTTCCCTTCTCTTTGTGCATCAAGGGGGTGTTTGAAAAGGAGAAAAAAAATTTATCTGATAATCTCGATTTTTAGAAATATAATTTTTACATTCAGTTTATGATAATATCTAAAAATTAAAAATTTAAAAAAATTTAATTTTTCAAAAATTCTGAAAAATAACTCCTACCAAACGGCTCCTAAAATAAGCATTAAACTTTGTGAACATTACCATTAAGATAAGGAATTCCAATTTTTAATCTTTTTTATTTTTGGAAACAATTTTTTAATCTTTTTATTCTTTTTAGCTTTGCTTGTGGTGTTGGCTTCGTTTTCTGCAATTCCCAAAGCCCAAAATCTCTGCATCATCCAAAAAACTAACAGAAAAGAAAAGGAAGGAAAAAAAAAAAAAAAAAAAAAAACTAGAGCCAAAAATTAAAACAACATAATATTAGTATTTTTTTTTCTCTTTTTCTTTTGTTATTGTTACAGTTTTTATTTGTTTTATCCCTTCATTTTCGATTGGATCTGAGGCTCTTCAGAGTTGCAAAAGGCACACCAAAGTTGCTTTACTTTCCGGGAGTGTGGTTTTTCTTGGTTCTATGCACACAGAACTTGTTCCATAGTCATGGAAGAAGGTTTCTTGTTCTGCAATTGCATTGCTATTTCAATCCTTTGATCAGGTATGTGCTCTTTCTTTCTTGCTCTATGCATACCCTTTTGCTGCCTTTCTTTATGGGGTGGCTTTTAATCACTGTTCCTGGAGTACAATCAAAGAAAAATCTGAAGGTGGCTTTTAAAGAATAAAAAAACTTTAACTTGGGTGTTGGTACAAGTTAATGCATTTTTTGAATCAAAAACTGGGGAGGGCGTTGATTTTGTCAAGTTGGGTTTTTTTTGTTTTGTTCCGTGTTGACCAGAGAGGAACTGGGTTTCTTGGTAAATTTGTAAAAGACTGAAACTTCGCTATCTGAAAGCCTCTTTAATTTTATTTTATTTTGAATGCTTTATGTTGGGATAAAAGGGTTTGCCTTGTCTGATTTTAATGTTTTGCTTTTGGGTTCACCCGTTCCTGTCTAATGGATTCTGTTAAATTAGATGGTTTTCTGATGATTGTATCTGCTATAAGTCCCTTGCCAATTTTCTGATGTTGTTCTTTATTTTGGGTATTTGACTTCCATTCTGGGTCATTTCAGTGTTTCTTATTTCATCTGGCATATTGTGTTACTCTTTTATTTTTATTTTTAATAAGAAAATTTTGTAGGAGGAGATTTTTGAATGAGTAAATCTCAGTAATTCACTGTGTTGAGTTGGATTTTGCAGCTTATTAAAAATTTCTTGATGGAGTCACCTGTTGATGGAGCAGAGTCCTTATCAGAGATTCAAAATTCAGTTTCTGGGGTAGATCTTGATCCTCCTTCGACATCTGACACTTCCCGGCCTCCCTTAAGAGCATCTAGGAATCATTCCGGTCACCATAATTATGGAATGAAGACCATCCACCATCAAAACAGATATGTAGTTAATCAAAAGAATTCCTGTCAGGAGGCTAACAGTGTGGCGCATGAAGAAGGATTTCCAAATATGACGAAGCAGTATTATAACCCTAATGGCAAATCTGACTATGTGAGCCTTAATAAGACTGTTGAAAGTTGTTTAGGGAAGAATATCTCCACAATGGAAAAAAAATTGTGCATCAAGCAACCATCCGAAGATTCCAAGAATTGTGATTCTAGTGGCAAATTAGAATCTGACAGTCACGTATTAGGTTCATCAAAAGGAGTTATTGATCAAAAAAAGAGTTACTGTCACTCCGAGATTACTTTTTGTCCAAGTCCTCAGAATAGTTTCTATTCTGCCACTGCCTATTCAGAAGCCAAAGAAAGTTTTACCAATACTGGAGTCAGTGAATGTGTTAGTATTGATAAGTCAGTTGAAAGTGGAGAAGTTACTAATTCCTGTGAATTTAATGAGAGCAGGAAGACCAGCATCTGTAGAGGGAGTACTGGAAGCGATGTTAGTGATGAAAGCAGCACCAGTAGTTTGAGCAGTGCTTTGTATAAACCCCACATGGCAAATGATATAAGATGGGAAGCAATTCATGCCATCCGAGCTCGTGACGGGGTGTTGGAAATGAGACATTTCAGGTTGTTGAAGAAATTGGGAAGTGGAGACATAGGAAGTGTATATCTAGCAGAGTTAAGTGGCACAAGGACTTGTTTTGCCATGAAAGTAATGAACAAAACTGAGCTGGCAGGTCGAAAGAAGCATCTGAGGGCGCAGACAGAGAGAGATATATTGCAGTCTCTAGATCATCCTTTTTTACCTACATTATACACACACTTTGAGACAGAGACATTCTCCTGCTTGGTAATGGAATTTTGCCCTGGTGGGGACCTGCATGCACTCAGGCAAAGACAAACTGGGAAGTATTTTTCAGAACATGCTGCCAGGTTAGCAATTCCATTTTCTTTTTTTTCTCCTTGCTTGTACCCTGCAATTCTATCTACATATAACATGCAGAGCATGCGGAAACATATACGAGCAACAGATGAGTGAACCTGATATATGAACTCGAGTGTTCCATGGAACCAGAAGGAAACTGTATTGGTTAAGGAAAGCTCTATTTTTTTCTGTGATAATATGGGAACCAGCTGAGGTTTTCATAATATAAATGAAAAGCTGGATTGACACAGTGTACTTCCCGTTCATTGTGCCTCAAGGACCATGAGAAATTTTATATTTTATCATATGTCAATAATACAAATGGTCATTTGTTTGTGACTTTCAAATCCCTAACTCCTTAGAAAATCCATATATTTAGCAGAACATGGCCTGAGATTTCTAAGTAGCCTTGATGTTCTTTTCCACTCCCTTTATTGTCCGAAAACCATTGTGATTTTCGAACTCTTTTTAAGGATGTCAACCAAATTGGATAAGATTATGCTTGCTTGCACGCTCTACCTTTTCTTTTTCTGCCTTTATAATTACTTTAGTTCTCTACTTCCCCCCATTTCCACATCCACAATTGTGACATTCTGAGTAAATTTTATAAACTTCAGTAGTGCTAAGCGGTCCTACCAATCACCATGTTCTGGTCAATTTTCACTTCAATTCTTGTGAATGCTATGTGACTTAGCTCTCTCAATCCTATGTCCTGTCTAGGTGACAAATATATTAAGCTGCTTGTATATTATGTCTTAGTGATCTGTTTAGGAGACCTGGACTTTGACAAAGATGCTTTTTTTGTTGTTGAATGTTTTGAAAAATGTCAAGGAGGGTACGACTATGTTGTCATTTCATAAATCTGTGCTATGCAGGTTTTATGTGGCAGAAGTTCTCCTTGCTTTGGAGTACTTGCACATGCTTGGGATCATCTATAGAGACCTTAAACCTGAGAATGTGTTGGTGAGAGAAGATGGACATATAATGCTATCAGATTTTGATCTCTCTCTAAGGTGTGCCGTCAGTCCAACTCTAGTAAAGTCATCAAACTCCAGCTTGGAGACAAAATCCTCAGGATACTGCATGCAGCCTGCATGCATTGAGCCAACTTGTGTAATGCAGCCAGACTGCATCCAACCTTCATGTTTTACCCCGCGGTTTCTTTCTGGCAAATCCAAGAAAGAGAAAAAGTTCAAACCAAAGACTGACATGCATAATCAGGTGATCCCTCTCCCTGAGCTTATGGCTGAGCCCACAAGCGCCCGATCGATGTCCTTTGTGGGCACGCACGAGTACCTGGCACCTGAAATCATCAAAGGTGAAGGGCATGGCAGTGCTGTAGACTGGTGGACGTTTGGGATATTCTTATATGAGCTTTTGTTTGGTAGAACACCATTCAAGGGTTCAGCAAATCGCGCAACTCTATTCAATGTTGTTGGCCAGCCCTTGAGATTTCCGGAATCCCCTGCTGTGAGCTTTGCTGCCAAGGACTTGATCAGGGGTTTGCTTGTGAAAGAGCCTCAGCATCGTCTTGCCTATAGACGCGGAGCAACAGAGATAAAACAACATCCATTCTTTCATAATGTTAACTGGGCACTGATCCGTTGTACAAATCCTCCAGAGGTGCCAAGACAACAGGCCATGAAAGCAGTCACAACAGCTGAAAAGGTGCCTGGTGTGACGCCTTCTGGTAATTATTTAGATATTGATTTCTTTTGAATCATAATGTATGTTTTCTCCTTTGAACTAATTTCACATCTTTTATTTGTGTTGTTGGTCCTTGGTTCTTTAAGTTGTGTAAAAGGATGCAAACTCTTTCATCTACATTGATTAACGCTTGTCATATTCCATGATAAACTGCTGTAAGAAACTCCAAAATGCATTTAAGTGAGGAACAAAGTGTCTGTCTCTTATTTTCTCCTATTCCTCTGTAATATTATCTCTAAAGGTGAACCTTGGCATAACTGTTGGTGTTGTTGTTATGTGATTCGGAGGGGTCATAGATTGAATTCATGTAAGCCTCTTGCAATAGGATGATGTAAATAACCGAACCTAACCGAATTGTATTTTTTGAACCAGTTTTAAGAACAGAACTGGTTTTATAAACTAATTCAAAAAATTGAACCGAATCAAAAGAATCGATATGGAAACCAGTTTGAAACCGGTTCAAAACCAATTTAGAACGGGTTTGCACATCTGAATCGGTTGAGAACTGTTATGGACCTATACAAGGCCCATATACTTAAAAGCCCAATAAAGGGCAATCACATGACAGCTATACAATGACACAGTTGGGCTTATGAACTGCAAGGCCCAAAATTATTATACCCACAGATAAACTCTATAAGTAGGAGATAAAGCCTACAGTTATGATTTAATCTCTCTCTTGCGATTATGCTGTTACTGTGCACACACACCATCCCATTGGCTAAACGTCGTTATGGTTGTGTACAGTGATCTGTTACCTAAAGTTACCTATTTTATAGATACCTAGAGAGAGTACCTGATCCAATATCGATTTACTAGCATTTGGCTAGACAGTTCTGTCACTAAGACTTAACAAGAATCTGTTATAAATCGTTAATGACACAATAGGTTTGACTCTTTAGTCTTTACTACTTATAGAAGGAGCTTTATAGCATCATGCTGCCTTTTTTTATTTTTTATTTTGCAAATGCCAATTTCTCTATAAGAACATGTCTTACCTACAAGCTAGAGTGCTGGCCTACCGTGCATAGTCAAGGAATACTCGTAAGTAAATGGGGGTGTTGTCGCCTATTCATTATTGGAACCACGTAAGCAAATGATCAATTACCAAAAGTGAACTGTAAAAATTTGTGATTAGCAATGTTAGGATTCGCAGATGGACAAATCAGTAGCAGTATTCAGTGTACTCGTATACTTCTGGACAAAATCCCCATTGTAGTCAAAGTTTAGTTATTCACGCTAAATTAACTGCACCGTGGAATTTCCCACAATCTAGCCGCAAGAAACTGAGGATACTTACACGGCTCCAAATCCTGCATGCAGACTCACGAAGTATGAGTATTACATATGGACTCAGAAGTGTACAGGATTTTAATGAGAGAGTGATGGAAATAGAAAATGATGAGTTATATATGTTTTATGGGGAATGATCAGTGTATGACCGGTCAGACATAATGTAGTTTTTAAGAATTTGTAAACAAAAAATTTGTAAATATAATATTTCTCATGTTTTATTATTATTATTATTATTATTATTATTATTATTATTTTCTGTTCCTGCTAACTAGCGATATTTAGATTCTGATTATGGATAGTTTTAATCAGAATATTGTTTAAGACTAGTGCATGCCATTAGTCTTAGTTACAGTTGCACTATTACTTATAAAAGCGCATGTTTAAATTTATAGTTTGGGATTGGACTCCCTAAATTATATGAAATATTTTATTTTATGGAGTAAGTATAAATCTTAATCTTGGGTTGACCTTCTGACTAATGATATTTACTTCTCGAGTTTGAGTCTTGAGCTACCCACCTAGGAGAATTAATTCTCCTAAAATTTACTAAGCTAATAAGAATGCACCTTTAAGATTGCCTAGAAAAAGATTTAATCTAGGCATGAAAGTTGGTTCTAAAAATTTCTTACTGTACAATTCTTTTTTTTTTTTTAGAAAAAAAAAAACAATGTAACATATTTTGGAAAAAGGGAATCATATACTTAACACCACTTTTGGCTTAATACCCTTTATATCTGTTTTGTTATTGTTGGATCAATTTGAAATTAATAGTTGAAATTTCTTTTTGACTATCATTGATTGCAAATTAATGTTATGATAACCAAATAGATAATCCCTTTGAAAAATAAAATTATTTAGATTTAAATTTTAACAAGTATGAATGTAAGACTATCATTTTATCATTTACATTATTAAAGATTTTAAATTATGATAGTACTTACTTAAAAAGTTGAATTTTTTGGGACATAATGCAATAAACTCACTCTAACTGTGGGTCATTTTCAATAAAACCTTCCTATTCTAAAAACTCATCATGACTCATTGAAATCGCATTGTAAACTACAGACTAATATAAATGTTAGTTTTTCTACAAATGACCAATAGTTAGACGGGGTTGGTTGTTTTTTGTCCAATTTTTACTAATTTGTAAACTATCACAAGGTGGAACATATTGTCAGAAATTCTAAACTAATAACGTTTCAAAATTAAGCTGTTTATAGTTTGTACGGAAACTTGAATATGAAATTCAAGGGTCGAATTTTAGCAAGTTACTCCACGCTGTTGAAAGCAATAGCAATGAATAAGGCCCACCTTAAAGGTTAGTGGGGCTTTTTAGATTTAACGAAATGCACTATAAATAATAAAATAGCAAAACTCCACTAATTTTGACTGGACAAGGAAGGAATGAGAGGCCCACTCAGAAATCAGAATGTCCAACCTCAACCCAAATGTCCTAGATTGGTCTCGTAACTCGTAAGAGCATGCGTCATGACTCATATGCGTTGTCCCAACGACAAAGAAGCGCAAACAATGCCTAGCCGCAAAAATGGAAAAATGGATGATATAGATCCATGTTATTTTTATTTATTTATTTATTTATTTATGAAAATGTTTAAAGTGATACTTTTCTCATTTAATATGAGAGAAGTTTTTTTTCTACACTAATAAAAAATGTGGAGTTCATAAGTTAAAGAAAAATAAAAAGAAAAGAATTTACAAGCATATCTTCTTATGTTTTTATAATATGAAAAAATTATCTTTTACAATTGAAGAAAATAATTTTCCAAAAGTTTATAGGTTCGCGATGATAAAAAGGGTGACCGTTTAATTCAAAAAATTTGATAAAATAGTTTGTATAATGTAACTTATTATTATATTTTTTAAGGAAAAAACATATATCTTTTTAAAGGATATAACCTTATATTATTTTAGATCTTAATCGTTGATTTTCGTCCATCAACGGTTATAATTTATGGAGTCAAACTTAATGGGTTAAATTTATTATTAATTAATTAATAATTTTGATCAAATAAATTATAGCCGTTGATGGACAAAAATCAACGGTTATGATCTAAAATGATATAAGATTATATCTTTTAAAATGACAGATATTATTCTTTTTTTAATATGTGCATTCTGTACACCAAAGGTTTTCTCAATAATATTTTTTTAATGATTAAACTTTGACTTAATATTGAAACAGTTATTTTAGAGCCCATTTGAATGGACTTAAATTTTTTTTTATTTCTTACTTATTTTAGAAATGCTTTTTACAAAAGTTAAAATTATTTAAATTTTAAAAAAAAAATTATTTTTTATTAAAATTTTTGATTTTTGATTTTTACTTTTTTTAGAAACTAATTTTTTTTTTTACAAAAAAAACAGGATTTTAGTTTTTTTAATAACTTCCACTTCTTTTAAAAAGCAATCAAACAAAAAAAATTTTTAGAAACGATTTTTTTTCCCTAAAAGCTGCTTTTAGAAAAAGAAAAAAAAATCATTCAAACAGGTCCTTAATCACTGCAACCGACACCCATTAGATTGTAACTTAAATTTATAAACAAATTATTTTCAGTATTATTTGTGGGTTTAAGGGGGCGTTTGGTACACGGCATTTGGCCGGATTCCCGGAAAACTGAATTTTTCTAAATTTTAAATTTCCGGATATTATGGTAAACTGAATGTAAAAATCATATTTTTGAAAATTAAGATTCCCAGACAAATAAAAATTTCTCCTATACCAAACGCCCCCTAAGTGTTTTAACTAGTGGCGATGAGACGGGTTGTTTGTTGTATCTTTAAGTTTTTAAACAAATATTTTCGGTAGTAACCAGGGGCAGAGCTAAAGGAATATGAGTGGGCGATCACCTCGCTGAATTTCTAGAAAAATCGTGTGGGATGTCTGGACCTCTTTTACATTTTTTTTTTCACTCGGCCACTGGTTGTAACTTGTAACGTGACAACCAGGGGGCAGTGGCGATAAGATGGGTTTGACTTGTTAGGATATTTTCATGTATTTTCAGTCACGGCTTAGATGGGTTTATTCGTGACGATGTTATTAAATTCGGCCTGGTTATTGATCCGGTAGAAATATAGGGTTATTGATTCGATTAGTGGATCGCTGGTTCAACCTCGTGACCCGGTAAGCTAATCAGCTAAAAAGTACGAAAAATTATTTATATTTATATTTATGTTATGAAATTTAAATATTTAATTGATTATATGACTTATTATGGACTCTTATATGTATTAAATATAAATTATATTATATATATTAAAATTTTTATTCAATATCAAAACGTGTGAAATATGACATTTTTTAGAATTAACGCGTCGGCGTATCGTGTCGTGTCGTATCCCGTGTCAATGTCGGTGCATCATAGCCGATAAGTATATGTAAATTTATAATTTATATTAAAAAAACTATAAATATACTTAAATACTTGTAAAAAATATACCAATTTCAAATATTTTAATATAAAAATAATAAATTACACATCATTGTCCAACAAAAGATCAATCAAACATATAATATTTGTGATACTAGTGTTTCAGGTTCAGTAAACGACCTCTCTAACTATAAATCAAATCAAAATTCCATGCATATTGCATAATCAAGATAATATTAGTGTTGTAAGTACATAATCTATGTAAGTTAATAAGTTACAAATCACTCAAATATTTCAAAAGAAAACAAATCATTTGTGTTTGAGAGAAGAAGAAAAAAAGACATTAATTTATGAAAATAAATTAGTTTTTTTTATAGACCGGACCGGGTCTCCGGTTGAACCGATCGGGTCACCGATTTTTACGAAAATCGGCCAGGTCACACCGGTTCTGTAACATGACCTGTCCAATATGAAAACTGAATCGGTTACACGACCAGTTCACCGGTTTTTGGGTCGACCCGGCTGGGTCGGTCCGATTTTTATAACATTGCTTTAGAGCATGTGAGTTTTCTAGCTTGCC